TTCATCTTTGGAGGTAAATCAGTTGACTAATACTTTAATTAGTTGAGAATGACCCCACACGTGATACAGTTAGTGTCTGCAGTTATCTGTGCACTTACAGAGCTTTGTTGGAGGCTTTGACCACTGGCAGCAGCCTCAGAAGAACCTCCTCTGATGCAGAGTATTTCTTCAGGTCAAACACATCCAGATCTTTATCTGATGACAGTAAGAAGAAGACTAAAGCTGACCAATCAGGGGGGGTAGAGGGGTGTGTTGCATATGCGCATGTGTAAGTGTCCATGGGTGCGTGTGTGCACATAAGCCTGGAGAGTCGCTTCGTCTAGCCTCTCAATCAGTGCCTCAGTTCACATGGTGTCATCGCGATAACACAGCAGGTTGCCATGGAGACGTCCCTGATCGGGTCCTAAACAGAGTCAACTATCAACAGGTGTCCGTGAGGGAAGGTAGGGAGGAATAGGGCAGAGCATCTCACTGCAGCGATCTCCTGGAGGAGTTGTTCCAGCAGCAGCAGCATTTCAATAGACACGACTTACTCTGTTTGTCCATTCTGGTCTTCGAATCGATTCATTCTCCTTTGCAAAGCCGTGTTTCTCTCTGCAGAGGGAGTCTCTTCGATCTTCTTCTTGATGTACTCAACTGTTTTCTGATTGGTCTCAGAGCTTCTTGTCTCTTTCAGTAGGCCATCAGGGAGTTTGGTCTGATTGGTCGGCAGAGAGAGACCCAGGAGGAAGCAGAGGAACAAGTCCAGGTGTCCATTTGGACTCTGTAAGGCCTTGTCAACAGCAAACCTGTGGACGGCTCTCACAGATCTTTTAAAAAATGCTCGCAGATGTTCACCAACAGTTTCTGCTAGCTTAGACATCACATTCTTGTTCCTGTTGACGAGCGACATCTCCACATATAAAGCTGCCAAAAACTCCTGAACAGTCAGATGGATGAAGCTAAACATCTTGCCTTCATCCTTCTTCTTCTTCCCATGTTCCTCTTTAGAGATCTCTGTGAACACTCCTGAGCACACTGAGGCTCCTCTGACATCAATGCCGCTCTCTTTCAGATCTTTCTCGTAGAAGATCAGGTTGCCCTTTTCCAGCTGGTGGAAAGCCAGTTCAGCTAATGACTTAATGTACTTAACGCACTGTTCTTGGCCATACTTCTCTTTTGTCTGATGAATCTGAAACACCAGGAATTCTACATACATCTCAGTCAGGGTCTTGGGCAGTTCTCCTCCCTCTCTGGTCTCCAACACACCATCCAGAACTATAGCAGTGATCCAGCAGAAGACTGGGATGTGGCACATGATGTGGAGGCTTCGTGATGTCAGGATGTGGGAGATGATCCTATTGGCCTTTTCCTCCTCATCTGTGAATGAGGAGGAAAGTACTCCTCCTTCTGTGGGTCAGTGAACCCTCTGACCTCTGTCACTATGTCAATAAAATCAGAATGAATCTGATTGGCTGCTGCAGGTCGTGTGGTTATCCAGAGGCGAGCAGAGGGAAGCAGATTCTTCTTGATGAGGTTCGTCAGCAGCACATCGACTGAGGTCAACTTTGTCACATTAATCTTAATTGCGTGGTTGTTATTAGTAGTGCAGTCCAGTTGAGGCGGCTCTCATCCAGTCCATCCAAAATAAACAGAAGTTTGAATTTACTTCTGTCATAGTTGGTATTTCCTGATGACTGCAGTGTTGTAAAGATGTGATTAAGAGCTTCTTCTGGGATGTCTTTGGTCTCCCTGATACATTTATGAATGAGCTCTGCCAGACAGAACTTTTTTCCCTTCAATAAATTCAGATGGTAGAAGGTGAAGAGGAATATGAGATGCACATCTTGATTGGCTCTTCCTTCAGACCAGTCTAACACAAACTTGAGCACAAGAAATGTTTTGCCAATTCCTGCAAATCCCCTGGTCAGCACTGTTCTTATGGCTCTTGTTTTTCCAGAGGGAGGCTTGAATATGTCACTGGGTTTAATTGGTGTCTCTGTTTCTGATCGCCTCCCCACTGCCTCAATCTGTCTGACCTCATGCTGTGTGTTGATGTGTATGTCACCTCCAGCTGTGATGTACAGTTCTGTGTAGATATCGACCAGAGGTTGTTCATCCTTCTTCTCCATCCACCCCTCTTGTGCACACATAAACTTGTCTTTGAGGTTTGATTGAAGCAAGTGTTGGTAATATGAGATGTGTCGTGATTCAGGTACTGGAACAAAAAAACAACTAAACTACCGTCGGAGCAAGTTGCCTTTGGACAGTATTCTACTAGTCAGTGATATGAAATTGTGTAACAGTTAAAGTTTAGGGTGTTGTTAAGTTGTTGTTCTTTTTTACACCTCAAGCTTTACAACATTTAAACATGTGATAACAAGGATCTGCGAAATACAACAACAGCCCTGGACTGCTGACCACTGAGCAGCTGCTGGTTTTGTTGGTGTCCATCTACTGGTTGAAATGTCACAAACAAAAGTTCTGTGAGATCAGTTTCGTTATTCTGTCTGTTTATATATGGGCTCTCATTCTCTCTCTTGCATGTCCACTTTCTTTCTTTTACTCTCTCATTTCAGTAAATCAGTTAAATAATGTTTAAATATCAATATGATTTAAACCACAGCACAATAGATAAATGGTCAATGGACTGTACTTATATAGCACCTTTCTAGTCCTTCGAACAATGCGCTGTACACTACATTCTACTCTCACCCCATTCGTGCACATTCATACATTGATGGCAGTGGCTGCCATGCAAGGTGCCAACTGCTCACCAGAACTGAAACTAAGCATCGACTTACTTTCGATCGTTTTCATCGACTCTGTGGTCATAATGATATGACCACAAAGTCGATTAATTGATCTTTGGCCTAAATTCAATTCAATTCAATTAAATTTTATTTGTATAGCGCCAATTCATAACAGAATTCAACAGAATTTTGCAGAGCACAGCACAGACTGGAGGATGACAGTATCTGTGATGTTATAAAGTTATTATGTAGTAATGGTTGCTGCAAGAGCCACCTGCCAGGTGAAGCAGCAGAGTCCCTGGTGTGTTTCAGACCCTGTCACGCCTCTAGGACTGAAGTATAAAAAGGTGTCAGGCCGGTGAGATCCACCTCATCCAGCTGGACCAGGAACAGCTGTTGGCTGTATCTTAGTCTACTTACTCTCTGTAGTAGCTGCTCCGCAGTCTCCTGCCACCGCAGACCACACTGGTACAGCAGCCTCTGGACAGTCTGCAGTCTGAAGGACATAATTTTTGCTCTTATATCCACCAGTCCCTGTCCTCCTTCCTCCACTGGAAGATAAAGAGCTGCAGCTCGAATCCAGTGCTGTCCAGTCCAGAAGAAATCCACCATATGCTTCTGGATGTCATCGACCAGGCTCCCTGGTGGAGATAAAACCTTCAGCCTGTGCCACAGTGTGTGTGTGTGTGTGTGTGTGTGTGTGTGTGTGTGTGTGTGTGTGTGTGTGTGTGTCTTACAGCTTAAACAGGGTTGAGTTTTAGTAATTTTGTTATTTCTTAGGGACAATGCATGCATATGAATAAGCCAAAAGGCTGGTTTACATCTGTAGTCCCTGGCCAGGTGTAAAAATTTGCAACCTCAACTTTAAAAACAAGGACAGATATGGGAAAAAAAGAAAATGATTGAGACCATAGAGCAACAGGACAATGGTTGCATAAAGGCAGGTGAAACAACAGGCAGGATATTTTCCAAATTATGGAGGCATCCAGACAAGTGCTGACCGATCTGGTGGCCTGTAAGCCATGTCCTTAACTGCTAGAGAAGGACATGTAAATCGTGAGTCAATCATGTGCTGCTTTAATTGAAAGGTCAGATTGAAGTGGTACCATACGGTTTCCTCTTGAGGCTCCTCTTGTAATCTGATTTGTATTTGTTGATAAAGCAACTGAGTGAGGGTGGAGCCGTGTCATTAATAATTAATATTAAATTATTATTATTAAATAATTAAATAGCTGAGACAAATATTTGCATGTTTGATCAGATTTAGAAGATACTGAACCCCAAATAGCTCCCCACGCTGTGCACCAGTGTACAATGCTTTGACTGGCCGGACGATTAGAAAGGCGCTATATAAGTACAATTCATTTACAATTTATAATCTTTGTCTAGATTCAAGTATATGTAGCTCAGTATGGCTGGCTTTCTTTGGGTAATACATGCTAGTGGTTATTGACACATGTAGACAACAGTGTTTTAACCATTCAGTAACATGTGCTGTTGCGTTGGTTAGGATGGAAGCAACTTGACATTTTGTGTTGCTGTGTACATTTATTACAGTGTTGTCAGCATACATTTGAGTCCCTTTTTTGGGTATACGGATGGTAGATCATTAACATATAAGCTAAATAGAAATGGGCCCAATGTGAATCCTTGTGGGATGCCAGAGGAGGAGCTGTGAGCAGTGGACAGAGTAAACCATCACTCTCAATGATACTCCAGTTCCTATTTATAATCTGTTTTCTGCTTCTGTACTGTTGTGGCAAATACAAGGGCACATTTCTTTGTAGTAAAGTATGTCTGTCAATATGTTTGGCTCTAGTGTATGCCCTCTGTCAGGTAATGGTTCTACATCCCTGTTCCCGAAGGTGTGACACCATTTTCTTAGATTTCTGTATGCTCTACTTGCTGTATTGTAGAGATATCTTCTGCAGGGGAAAATTCCAGAAGACAGAGACATTGATAATTACTAAAATATCTGGAAGTGGGATAATGTTGAATGTCAGCAGGAGTCAAAATCAGTCTCTCTGAGATCGGTGCTGCTGATTCACCACTATTTTTATTTTTATTTGAAGAAACTCTTCATTTTATGTGTCAAAGGTTGGTAAAATGAAGTGTTGTTTTGTTGACGATGAGCCTCTTGATATACATGTCCTTACCCCAAATCACAATAGCACCCTCTTTACCTTTTTTCTTTCTTTAGATAATGTTTCTGTTGTTTAAGTAGCGATGATGTGAAGATGTATTGAAGAGAAGTCCGCTGACACCATCTTGATTGTATATAAAAAAGGTTTATTACAAAAAAGGTACAGCATCATTTCAAGCCCCGGGAGCTTGGAGAGCATCCTGCCAAATGAAAAGCTCTGTCTATTTCACCTCGAACACAGGTTTATATAGGTCTGTGGTTTACTCCAAAAGATCAAAACAAACATTCCAATCCAGATATGTAAAGTGATAAGGGGAGGTGGGGATTATCAGGTAAAGGTCAGAGGCCATAAACAGAAGAGGATTAAGCCATAAACAGTTGAGGCCATTGAGAAGCCGTAAATATTCCATAGTAAGAATTACGTGTTTAACCTCATGAACTACTAACACTACATATGTTTAACAAAACATCCTTTGAACCTGTAATAAAATGTAATTTAAATTTATAAGCCTTCAGATACCACACTTCCAAGGCACTTCTTTTCTTTATGGGAAAGATTACAATGTTTTGGTGAATAAGTTCTCTTTCCCTTCTTCTTCATCTTCATCTGTCACATCTTGGTCCACGTCCCCGTTCCTCTCCCTCTTTTGTTCTGGTAGGGTGGATTGTCTGGGTGCTCTGATACGGCATTAGGTTGACTTAAAACATTATGTGTGTTTGTCAGCAGTGTTTCTGTAACAGGAGGAGACTCTCCATCCTACAGTGAACACAGAGACACTGAGGAATCAGACCACCAGAACCTGAACCCAGGATAAAGAGGTTCAGTGAATGTGGTGTTGAAGGTGTAGATTTGGATCAGTGTGTCAGAGGAGACTCTGTAGAAGGACAGAGTGCCAGCAGGACAGTCCACATACACTGCTACTCTGTTAGAGACAGAGGAGGAAGAGGAGGGGCGTGTTCTTCTGTTATTGTGCCAGACAGAGTAACCATCATCATCAGAGCACAAAAGACTCCAGGACTGATTGTTACATCCAAACCTGCAGTCAGCACTTTTTCCTTTCCTGCCGATTCCTCTGTAACTCACTGATATATCAACTCTTCCTCTCCACTCGACCTCCCAGTAACAGCGACCAGTCAGACCATTGCTACACAGCAGCTGAGGCCAGTAGTCAAATCTCTCTGGATGATCAGGATATGGCTGCTCCTCTTTCACTGATGTCACCTTCCTGTTGTTGTCAGAGAGTTTGAGGTTTCTGTTCACTGTGTTTGTGTCCACTGTGAGTTCACAGGAATCTGATGGAGAGAACAAGACTCAATACAGCAGCAGTTTATCATCTAATACAGCTGATGGCTTTATTTGTTGCTTTATTAACAGACTGACTGTTAATTAGATCAAAACTTCACAATGACTCATTGGATTGGATCTTCTTTCAAATCTACAGTTGAATGCAGATAAACGTGGAGATCTTGAAATCACGCAAGAATCCATCTGGCTAGGCTTCAAGCTAATGCACCTGTGCCTCATAAGTGTCCTTTCAGAAGCTACTGGCAGCTACGTGCATGGATGCCCCGCTTCTAAAACTGCTCTTTGTATTTGAAGACGTGTGGATCATGGAGCCAAACTATGTGACATAATTTTGCCGTTAACATGTGCTGCCTTGTTATAATGAATCAAAGCGAACACACACACTTACACTTCTTCACATCAGGTTTTAGTCTCTGCTCTCCACAGTGTTCCACCCTGGAGGAAGAAACAGAGTCAGAATGAACCTTCATAAGCTTCCTCATCAATGATCTCCATAAACCTTCACTCAGGTCCAACATTAGCAGCTGCATTTAAAAAAAAACACATTTCATACACAGACTCAATTCAATTTTATAACAAATGTTCAGAAGAAAACAACAATGAAATAATAAGTCAGACAAATAGAAACATCCAAAAATTAAAGACATTAAAATACTAGAAGTTTAAAAAAACATAAAAAATATAATTTACAGTATAGATTTTAAAACTCTCATCAGTGGTAAACAGAAAAGTTTTTATTTTTTATTAAAATGTATGAAGTCAAGTCACTTTCATGTCTATGACCTATTATCATAAATCACAACAGCACACAACGTTGTTTAGGGTGTTTGACCCTGGAATAATTTATTGATTTACCATCCAATTAAAATACTCAAGTGGCTCACCACCTCCACTAACCTAAAGCTCAAACTTTATTGAAATGAAACATGTAGTCCAGCCTCAGATTGCAAAAATAATTACATCCCAATCTGTTCATACCTGAGAGTGTCCAGTCTCCAGTTTGGATCCTTCAATCCAGCAGTCAGCAGCTTCACTCCTGAGTCTCCTGGATGATTGTAGCTCAGGTCCAGCTCTGTCAGAAGGGAGGGGTTGGATCTCAGAGCTGAAGCCAGAGAAGTACAGCCTTCCTCTGTGATCATACAGCCTGACAGTCTGGAGACACACACACACACAGAATAATTATTCATTTATTTTCATCTATTCCTTCCTTGTCGGTGTGAATTCACTGATTAAAATTAGCTAGTTATATTTTCCCATCAGACCACTTCTTTGAATCTCTTTGCTCAATTTTAATATTCATCTGTTAAAAGGTAAAGTTGAATCCTGACCTGAGAGTGTCCAGTTTCCAGTTCCAGTGTGGACTCTTCAGTCCAGCAGACAGTAGTTTCACTCCTGAATCCTGCAGGTCGTTGTTACTCAGGTCCAGCTCTCTAAGACTAGAGGACTGGGAGCTGAAGACTGAGGACAGAGCTTCACAGCTTCTCTCTGACAGATTACAGCCACTCAGCCTAAAAAATATGTACAGGAGATACAGTGTGTGACAACATTTCTCTCTGTATTTGATTTGACTTGGGCTTCTATTTTTGTACACACTGTTTTCTGAAGAGAAGTGGTACAATTACTTAAGAGAAATTACAACATAATGTGACAGTTACGGTTCATCCTTTACGTTTCTTTTAATCCTGACCTGAGAGACTTCAGTTTACAGTGTGGATTTTTCAGTCCAGCAGACAGGAGCTTCACTCCTGAATCCTGCAGGTTGTTGTTACTCAGGTCCAGCTCTCTCAGACTGGAGGACTGAGAGCTGAGAACTGAGGACAGAGCTTCACAGCTTCTCTCTGACAGATTACAGCCACTCAGCCTGAAGGAGAGTTAGTGATAAAGACAAACACTGATACTATACAAGTATCCAACTGATCAACAAATCAAAATCAAAATCTTGAGACTAAGACATTCATTAGTTAAGAATTACCTTACATGTGACACTGACACTGTTTCTGTCATCTACAATATAGAACACATTTCTATGGTTGCTCTTACTGAGTTTATGAGTTGAACAATCAAGTATCGGGATCTCAGGTTAACAATAAGATTTTTAGGCAATCAGTGTTTTTCATTCTGGAAAAGAACATCTGAAAACCAAAACTTTATATATCAAGTTTGAGTTACTTTAATTTCCAATTGGCTTAAAACAATTCAATTCAATTCAAGTCTGGTAATCTTTCTCTAAATCCAGATGACCATGTAGTACATGTTGCTGTCACCTAGGTGTACTTTATCAGGAATTAATGGATGACGTAAAGGCCATTATTTCCTGTTTATGGACACTTTGTAGGGCATTATCCCACTTATACCATGGCCACTTACCAAAGAAAAAAAAAGTATATCTTCTTATGTTTCGCAATCAAAATCAAAAGTTTTTTAAAAAAACAAAAAAAAGTAGTGCAGCCACATATTGCAAAAATAATTACTTCCAAACAGTCCAATCTGTTCATACCTGAGAGTGTCCAGTCCAGGGTACAGCAGCTTCACTCCTGAGTCTCCTGGATGATTGTAGCTCAGGTCCAGCTCTCTCAGATGGGAGGGGTTGGATCTCAGAGCTGAGGCCAGAGAGGTACAGCCTTCCTCTGAGATCAGACAGCCTGACAGTCTGGAGAGACACACACACCTAATATTTCATTTTTTCCCATCTAATCTGTCCTTGTCAGTGTGAATTCTCAGTTTAAAATTAGCTAAATGTTAAATCAGTCCACTATTTTGCTACTGTAAAGTCAATTGACACCAGAACCCATAATCAACAAAATATTTAGACTTAAATTTGCAGTAATATATTTGTGGAGGTGGGTGTGGTTTGCACTCAGCTGCAGGAGAGAGAGGTGTGGGGAAGGCTTGTGAGAGCAGCACCAGGTGAGTTGATTACCTCAGCTGCTAATCGTTGCCTAATCACTCTAACCCTTTATCTTGCAGTAGTGTGCTGGACCTGGGGCTGGAGATGCTACTGAGAATGAGAGTTGCAGAGTAGCTGAACTGATTGCGTGTTGTTTGTGTTGGTAATGCCGAAACTACAATAAAAGTTAAGTGAACCAACCACCTGGCCTGAGCGTTTGTGTGCTGCCAGGACTCACGGTTGTCGGAAGACTTGCTACAATATTCATGAACACCGAGGGACAGCACAACAAGACGTAAAACACAACACTGATTTATTAACACCTCATTAAATTTACACTATGAATGTCTTGTTAGCCTTTCTCTACTGTGAACTGCCAAAGTGAAAAGTCAAATTTGAATGGATGTCTGTCTAAATATTGGATTTAAAAGTTGATTTTGCCCCAGAAAAGCATTTATCATTTCCAAAAGACAACTGACATCTGTAAAATGACAAAAATATGTTTCAACATGCACAGACACACAATTGTACGTAGGGTTTAAGTTAAGAAAGGGGTCTCCACCAAAACTGCAAAACAGTACATTTTTGGTCATGAAAACAAGACAATGAGGTTTGTCATTATGAGGGACACATTTCACAGTTCACACGGCCACTTCACCCACTGCTGTAGAAGTACGGCATAGATCAGCTTTAACGAATGCTGAATATTACATTGGCTTCAGAATTATAACAATACAAGTTATAAAGTCTTAAAAATATGTTACTATATTGTTTTTGAGTACAATCTATACTGTTAAATCATACAAATGCTTGGTATTTTTTAAAATGCATATTAACTTGTATGTATGTGTATGTCAAGAGTCATTTAAAAGGTTATCCCAACCTGAGAGTCTCCAGTGTACAGTGGGGACTGCTCAGTCCAGCAGAGAGCATCTTGACTCCTGAATCCTGCAGGTTGTTATTACTCAGGTCCAGCTCTCTCAGACTAGAGGACTGGGAGCTGAGGACTGAAGACAGAACTTCACAGCTTCTCTCTGACAGATTACAGACACTCAACCTACAAAATATATACAGTTCATGCAGCATGTAAAAACATTTCTTTCTGTATTTGTACAGTACACACTGCTTTCATAGCAATGTCTAAAAAGAAAAGTAGTAAAATAACTTATAAATGACAACATAATGTGACACATTTTATTTTTCATTCTGACCTGAGAGCCTCCAGTGTACAATATGGACTCTGCAGTCCAGCAGAGAGCAACTTTACTCCTGAATCCTGCAGGTTGTTGTTATTCAGGTCCAGCTCTCTCAGACTAGAGGACTGGGAGCTGAGAACTGAGGACAGAGCTTCACAGCTTCTATCAGACAGATTACAGCCACTCAGTCTGAAGGAGAGTTAGAGATAAAGATAAACACTGATAGTTAGGGCTGTGCAATGTCATATCCAGATAACGATACATATAACAACACACGTATATCACATTTTGTAAATGGTAAATGGACCTGTACTTGTAAAGCGTCTTTCTAGTCTTCCGACCACTCAAAGTGCTTTTACACTAGAGCCACATTCACCCTTTCACACACATTCACTCAGTGATGGCAAAGCCCATCAAACAGAAACTAACTCATTCATACACATTCACACAGATGCACAGCATAGGGAGCAATTTGGGATTCAGTAATCCAGAGTTGGGACCAGGAAGCAGAGCTGCTGTCTTACACGCTTCTCTGCTCTTCCACTAGAACAGTCACCCACCCAAAACCCCATAGAGACTGTGTCTGTACCTCGACCACCTCTGTTTGTTATAGTGTACCGCGCTCCTGGCCTGTACTCTGATTTTTATAGTTTTTATCAAGTTTAGTCCTTAAATCAGACAAAGTAATTATTGTAGGTGATTTTTATATTCATGTGGATGTTAACAATGACAGTCTTAGTAACGCATTTATATCATCAATAGACTCAATTGGCTTCTGCCAGAGTGTAAATAAACCAACTCATTGTTTTAATCACACTCTTGACCTTGTTCTATCATATGGCATTGATACTGAACATTTAATAGTCTTCCCACATAATCCTTTTCTATCTGACCATTATTTAATAACCTTTGAATTCATATTACTAGATTATAATTCAATTCAATTCAATTTTATTTGTATAGCGCCAATTCATAACAGAAGTTATCTCAGGACACTTTCCAAATAGAGCAGGTGTAGACCGAACTCTTTATAACATTATTTACAGAGACCCAACAGTCCCACCATGAGCAAGCACTTGGCGACAACGGTAGAAACCTAGGACAGATCCTTCGGCTCTAGGTGGGTGGTCGTCCGTCTCGACCAGTTGGGGTGAGAGAGAGAGAGAGAGAGAGAGAGAGAGAGAGAGAGAGAGAGAGAGAGAGAGAGAGAGAGAGAGAGAGAGAGAGAGAGAGAGAGAGAGAGAGAGAGAGAGAGAGAGAGAGAGAGAGAGAGAGAGAGAGAGAGGTGCACAGCAACAACAGTAGCAACAACTACACTAATAGTAGTGACTGATGATGATGAACATGACAACAGCAACGATGGGGGACAATGAGCAGTGACAACAGCAACAACAGTAACCGTAGCTATAATAATACTTATAATAATAATAACACTAATATCAGTGATATTGGCAAGTGTAGTCAAGCAGGACCATGGCAGGAGGCTCCACCAGGATCCATGAGAACCTGCGAGACGAGAAAGGACAAGAACTCCGGGGAAGAAGTGAAGTTAGTGACATGCATTAATGGAACATGAATGAGTGCAGAAAGAGAGAGAGAGGAAGAGAGGAGCTCAGTGCATCATGGGAAATCCCCCGATAGTCTAGGCCTATAGCAGCATAACTAAGGGATGGTTCAGGACTCACCTGATCCAGCCCTAACTATAAGCTTTATCAAAGAGGAATGTCTTAAGCCTACTCTTGAATGTGGTGAGGGTGTCTGCCTCCCGAACCACAACTGGAAGCTGGTTCCACAGGAGAGGAGCTTGGTAACTGAAGGCTCTGGCTCCTGTTCTACTTTTAGAGACTATAGGAATGACAAGTAGCCCAGCATTCAGAGAACGTAGTGTTCTAGAGGGGTAATAGGGTACTATGAGCTCTTTAAGATATTAAGGGGCCTGACCATGAAGAGCTTTATAGGTGAGGAGGAGGATTTTAAATTCTATTCTAAATTTTACAGGGAGCCAGTGCAGAGAAGCTAGTACAGGAGAGATGTGATCTCTTTTTCTAGTTCCTGTCAGTACTCGTGCTGCAGCGTTCTGAATTAATTGGAGCGTTTTAATGGACTTATTGGGGCAACCTGATAATAAAGAGTTGCAGTAATCCAGCCTTGAAGTAACAAATGCATGGATTAGTTTTTCTGCATCTGTCTGTGATAGGATGTGTCTAATTTTTGTAATATTACGTAAATGAAAGAAGGCAGTCCTAGAGGTCTGCTTTATGTGGGAGTTAAATGACAAATCCTGATCAAAGATAATTCCAAGATTCCTGACAGTGGTGCTGGAGGCCAAGTTAATGCCATCTAGAGTAACTATATCTTTAGACAGTGAGTCTCTAAGGTTTTTGGGGCCAAGAACAAGAATTTCATTTTTTTCTGAGTTTAACATCAGAAAATTGCAGCTCATCCAGGATTTTATGTCCTTAAGACATGTTTGTAATTTAGATAATTGATTAATTTCATCGGGCTTGATCGATAGATATAAGCTCAAGTCTCTGTAAAAGAATATTATGGTCAATGGTGTCAAATGCAGCACTAAGATCTAATAATACAAGTACAGAGACAAGTCCATTGTCAAAAGCAATCAGAAGATCATTATTAACTTTAACCAGAGCTGTCTCTGTGCTGTGATGAACTCCAAATCCTGACTGAAAATCCTCAAATAAACTATTATTAAGTAGAAAGTCACACAACGTTTTGGCGACTACTTTCTCCAGAATCTTAGAGAGGAAGGGGAGGTTAGAAATCGGTCTATAGTTGGCTAAAACCCCTGGGTCAAGAGTGGGCTTTTTAAGAAGGGGTTTAATTACAGCTACTTTAAAGGACTGTGGTACATATCCTGATAATAAAGAAAGATTAATCATATCCAGTAAAGAAGTGCCAATTAAGGGTACAACTTCTTTAAGCAGCCTAGTTGGGATCGGGTCCAACAGACTTGATGGCTTCGATGTAGAAATTATTTAAGTTAATTGATGAAGATTGATAGCAGAAACACATTCTAAATATATATATGATTTTACATTAGTTAAAGTTCCTGAACTTATAGAGCCACTTATACCTGTTGATGGCATTTGGTGATTAATTTTGTCTCTAATAGTAATAATTTTATTATAAAAGAAGCTCATGAAGTGATTGCTACTTAAGTTTATGGGGATATGTGGCTCAATAGAGCTGTGACTCTCTGTCAGCCTGGCTACAGTGCTGAAGAGGAACCTAGGGTTGTTCTTATTTTCTTCTATCTCCTCAGTAGCACAAAATAAGAGAATGAAATGTGGACTGTTAAATATCAGGTGTTTTAGTGAATGAATTAATATCAGATTATGATATTGATTCATGTCCCATTAATGCATGTTACTAACTTCAATTCTTCCCCGAAGTTCTTGTGCTTTCTCGTCTCGCAGATTCTCATGGATCCTGGTGGAGCCTCCTGCCATGGTCCTGCTTGACTCCCATTGCTAATATCACTGATATTAGTGTTATTATTATTATTATTATTATTATTATTACTACAGTTACTATTATTACTCTTATCACTGCTCATTGTCCCCCATCGTTGTTGTCGCCGTCGACGTCATCATCTTCTTCACGTTTATCATCATCAGTCACTACTATTAGTGTAGTTGTTGCTACTGTTGTTGCTGTGCACCTCTCTCTCTCTCTCTCTCTCTCTCTCTCTCTCTCTCTCTCTCTCTCTCTCACCCCAACTGGTCGAGACAGACGACCACCCACCTAGAGCTGGGGTCTGTCCGAGGTTTCTGCCTCTTAAAACAAGGTTTTTCAATTCAATTCAATTCAATTCAATTCAGTTTTATTTGTATAGCACTAATTCATAACAAAAGTTTTATTTAAACTGTAAACTGTTTATATACTGGTTTTCCTTAGGTTTAGGGGTATAAATCTTTGCAGGGCTCTCGAGACGGAGGATTACCAGAGGCAGGCCAGTCCCTCTTCCTCAACCCTCAGTGCTCATAAGTCAGCTTTAGGTCAGGGATGAAGCCAGTGAGCGAGGTGTGAACGTACAGGGGCCCGTGGTAGGAACCCGAAAATTTAGGGTAGAGTACCAACGATCCATGAGTGCTACAGGTAGCAGATTAATGAACTTGCTGGCTGGAAAGTCTCAGTTTTTTCTTTTTCTTTAGATGGTTCTCAGAGCGACCCACTTTAAAAACAACAGAACATAAAAGGAAATGATATCCATTTTTCTATCATCACATAATATATATTGTCTTTTTTATAAATAGTTGAGTGCATTTGTCCAAAAGAATGTGTATATTAGTCATCTTTAAATTATTAACACCACACACCGCTGTCTGTTCCTACCTGACAGTGTCCAGTGTCCAGTGTGGATGCTCCTCTAGTCCAGCAAACAACTGCTTCACTCCTGAGTCTCCTGGATGATTGTAGCTCAGGTCCAGCTCTCTCAGATGGGAGGGGTTGGATCTCAGTGCTAAGGCCAGAGAAGTACAGCCTTCCTCTGAGATCAGACAGCCTGACAGTCTGGAGACAGACAGTAACCCACTGGGTGATATTTTATTTGCTTTGGGGCAGCAGCAGCTCAGTCTGTAGGGACTTGGCTTGGGAACCGGAGGGTCACCAGTTCGAATCAAGCACAGACTACAGTATGGAGTGTGGACTGGTAGCTCCACCTCCTGTGCTGCTGCTGAGGTGCCCTTGAGCAAGGCCCCTAACTGCTCCTGGAACGTTACGTGGCAGCATATTGCAAATGTCTTAGCCTACTTCTGTGTTAACCTGACAAAACTAGAGCAGCAGAGAAGTAGAGTAGAATAGAGTGGCAGAGTCTGTAAATATTTAAAATAATAAAATGTCTTGCTCTTTAGCTGCTCGATGTTTGACTTTATCAGCTATGCAGTATCTAACTGTGTCTGTCCACTGTTTGCTGCTGGGGAGGTACCGTACACTGGCCGGTTTGATGAAAACAACTGGCTGCTGCTGCTGAAAAGGTGTAGATGAGAGTGGGGAGACTGAATAAAAACAGCAATAATAATTATCTGTGGCGTTGTCTCTAAGTGACACATGGCCACAAGACTGTTAATGAGAAAATAGTAATCCGTTAAAAAAAAGCTGACCTGATAATCTCCAGTTTACAGTGTGGACTCTTCAGTCCAGCAAACAGCAGCTTCACTCCTGAATCCTGCAGGTGGTTGTTACTCAGGTCCAGCTCTCTCAGACTAGACTGGGAGCTGAGAACTGAGGACAGAGTTTCACAACTTATCTCTGAGAGATTACAGCCACTCAGCCTGAAGGAGAGTTAGAGATGAAGACAAACATTGTGACTGTTTCTGTTGTATGCAATTAAAAAAAAAAGTCATGTTTCTGAAGGACACTGAGTCAATGAGTCAAACTATCAAGGATTGTGGTCTCAAGCGACAAAAATACTTTTAGCGTCTTCTTCTTTTAAAACCGAAATTCTTGTACTTGTCCCCAAAAATCTTAGAGACTCAATGTCTAAAGATTTAGTTACTATAGATGGCATTACCTTGGCCTCTAGCACCACTGTCAGGAATCTTGGAGTTATATTTGATCAGGATTTGTCATTTAATTCCCACATGAAGCAGACCTCTAGGACTGCCTTCTTTCATTTACGTAATATTACAAAAAATTAGACACATCCTATCACAGACAGATGCAGAAAAACTAATCCATGCATTTGTTACTTCAAGGCTGGATTACTGCAACTCTTTATTATCAGGCTACCCCAATAAGTCCATTAAAAATGCTCCAATTAATTCAAAATGCTGCAGCATGAGTACTGACAGGAACTAGAAAAAGAGATCACATCTCTCCTGTACTAGCTTCACTGCATTGGCTCCCTGTGAAATGTAGAATAGAATTTAAAATCCTCCTCCTCACCTATAAAGCTCTTCATGGTCAGGCCCCTTCATATCTTAAAGAGCTCATAGTACCCTATTACCCCTCTAGAACACTAGTTCTCTGAATGCTGGGCTACTTGTGGTTCCTATAGTCTCTAAAAGTAGAACAGGAACCAGAGCCTTCAGTTACCAAGCTCCTCTCCTGTGGAACCAGCTTCCAGTTGTGGTTCGGGAGGCAGACACCCTCACCACATTTAAGAGTAGGCTTAAGACATTCCTCTTTGATAAAGCTTATAGTTAGGGCTGGATCAGGTGAGTCCTGAACCATCCCTTAGTTATGCTGCTATAGGCCTAGACTATCGGGGGATTTCCCATGGTGCACTGAGCTCCTCTCTTCCTCTCTCTTTCTGCACTCATTCATGTCCCATTAATGCATGTTACTAACTTCACTTCTTCCCCGGAGTTCTTGTGCTTTCTCGTCTCGCAGGTTCTTATCGATCCTAGTGGAGCCTCCTGCCATGGTCCTGCTAGATTGCCATTACCAATAGTGTTGTTGCTGTGCACCTGTCTGTCTGTCTGTCTGTCTGTCTGTCTATCTGTCTGTCTGTCTGTCTGTCTGTCTGTCTCTCTCTCTCTCTCTCTCTCTCTCTCTCTCTCCTCCCCTCTCACCCCAACTGGTCGAGACAGACGACCACCCACCTAGAGCCGAAGGATCTGTCCTAGGTTTCTGCCTTTTCACAGGCAGTTTTTCCTTGCCCTTGTCTCCAAGGTCTTGCTCATGGTGGTACTGTTGGGTCTCTGTAAATAATGTTATAAAGAGTTCGGTCTAGACCTGCTCTATTTGAAAAGTGTCCTGAGATAACATCTGTTATGAATTGGCGCTATACAAATAAAATTGAATTTAATTGAATTTAATTCTTCTCTTAGTAACATCTCTGGGATCCCAATAATTTACGCATATTAATTTCAAATATGAAAAAACTACAATGCAGGAAATCTGTTCTATGGCACTGATGCATTAATCTGAGGAGGTAAAATGAAACTTAAGAAACAATAAATTTTTTTGGTGGTCAACTAATCAAAATGTAAATATTTTATCTGTAGTTATCTGCAGACTTACAGAGCTTTGTTGGAGGCTTTGACTACTGGCAGAAGCCTCAGAAGAGCCTCCTCTGAAGCAGAGTATTTCTTCAGGTCAAACACATCCAGATCTTTTTCTGATGACAGTAAGATGAAGACCAGAGCTGACCACTGAGCAGGAGACAGTTTATCTGTGGAGAGACTTCCTGAACTCAGGAACTGTTGGATCTCCTCCACTAGAGAATGATCATTCAGTTCATTCAGACAGTGGAACAGATTGATGTTTCTCTCTGGACACAGATTCTTACTGATTTTCTTCTTGATGTACTCAGTTGTTTTCTGATTGGTCTGTGAGATTTGTTTCTTTTTCAGTAGGCCTTGAGGGAGTTTGGTCTGATTGGTCGGCAGAGAGAGACCCAGGAGGAAGCGGAGGAACAAGTCCAGGTGTCCATTGAGACTCTGTAAGGCCTTGTCAATAGCAAACCTGTGGACCTTGGTCATTGATGTTTTAAAAAATGCTTCCAGATGTTCACAAACAGTTGCTGGCTCAGACATCACATTCTTGTTCCTGTTGACGAGCGACATCTCCACATATAAAGCTGCCAAAAACTCCTGAACACTCAGATGGATGAAACTAAACATCTTGTCTTCATCCTTCTTCTTCCCATGTTCCTCTTTAAAGATCTCTGTGAACACTCCTGAGCACACTGAGGCTCCACTGACATCAATGCCGCTCTCTTTCAGATCTTTCTCGTAGAAGATCAGGTTGCCCTTTTCCAGCTGGTGGAAAGCCAGTTTTGCTAATGACTTAATATACTGAACGCACTGTTCTTGGCCGTACTTCTCTTTTGTCTGATGAATCTGAAACACCAGGAATACTATATACATCTCAGTCAGGGTCTTGGGCAGCTCTCCTCCCTCTCTGGTCTTCAACACACCATCCAAAACTATAGCAGTGATCCAGCAGAAGACTGGGATGTGGCACATGATGTGGAGGCTTCGTGATGTCAGGATGTGGGAGATGATCCTATTGGCCTTTTCCTCCTCATCTGTGAACCTCTTCCTGAAGTACTCCTCCTTCTGTGGGTCAGTGAACCCTCTGACCTCTGTCACTATGTTAACAAAATCAGAATGGATTTGATTGGCTGCTGCAGGTCGTGTGGTGATCCAGAGGCGAGCAGAGGGAAGCAGTTTCCCCCTGATGAGGTTTGACAGCAGCACATCCACGGAGGACGACTTTGTCACATCAAATTTAACTGCCTGGTTGTTATTGGTAGAGCAGTCCAGTTGAAGGCGGCTCTCATCCAGTCCATCCAAAATAAACAGAAGTTTGAATTTACTTCTGTCATAGTTGGTATTTCCTGATGACTGCAGTGTTGTAAAGATGTGATTAAGAGCTTCTTTTGGGATGTCTTTGGTCTCCCTGATACATTCATGAATGAGCTCTGCCAAACAGAACCTTTCTCCCTTCCATGAATTCAGCTGGCGAAAGCTGAAGGGGAATATGAGATGAACATCTTGATTGGCTCTTCCTTCAGACCAGTCCAACACAAACTTGAGCACAAGAAATGTTTTGCCAATTCCTGCGATTCCAGTTGTCAGAACTGTTCTTATGATTCTCTTTTTTCCAGAGGGAGGCTTGAATATGTCACTGGGTTTAATTGGTGTCTCTGTTTCTGCTGGCTTCCCCACTGCCTCAATCTGTATGACCTCATGCTGTTTGTTGATGTGTATGTCACCTCCAGCTGTGATGTACAGTTCTGTGTAGATATCGACCAGAAGTTGCTCATCCTTCTTCTCCATCCACCCCTCTTGTGCACACATAAACTTATCCTGGAGGTTTGAATGAAGCAGGTGTTGGTAATATGAGATGTGTCGTGGTTCTGGTACTGGAATAATCTCATCTGTGTGACATAAACAGAAACAAAAAACAACTAAACTGCAGTCTAAACTGAATTTACAGGAGTAACAGTTGGAGAAACACAGTGGCATGCAGTGGGCTGCTGCATTAGCAAACAGGAGATAAACTTTGAAATCTTCCCGTTTTCACAATTTAAGAGAAAAATGCAAGGGGAGGATATGGAAGCAATCAGTAAATTGTTCAACTTTATTTTTGGAATAGATTAGCAAACAACAAGTTAATTTATTTAAGTTAATGGAAGAGGTGGATCAGCTGAAATCCTAATTAAGGGGAAAGATTAGAGGATCGAAGACCTGGAACAGTGAATTGATGCAAATGGAAGAAGGTGAAATGATCATCAGTGGATTAGAAACCACACACCAAACCTGTGCAAGGGCTGTGGCTGGAGACAAAGGTGACAAAGTAAAACCGTGTGGAATGTGACACTATTACTCGAAAAATGTTCAAAGCGAAACATGCAAATCAACAAACATAGTAAAACAATGAGAGATCTGATGAGAGAATGAGTGATTTGTGATGACCAGGAATTTTGTTATGAATGGTCACTGCATAATTAGGGCGTCTCACTTTACAGAAAAAGGAAGTGACCTGAGGAGAAGTAACAGAAAGTGACTGTCATAATAACTGAATCTTACAAAATGAGCAAATTCATATTTAAAGAGAGACAAGAAGAGTTGGCTGCAGGTTGGGGGAAGCTGCTGGATAAGCTTCTGACTGGTCTAGAGAACAGGAACAGAGGCCAGTAACTGGGCTACAATACTGAAGACTGGTTGCTGGAGTGCATGACAGGGTACAGCTTGTTCATACCACCTGCATCTGCGTGGTGGAACATCTTGATTTTTATTTTTTGGTGCCCATGTTAACAGATTAACAGCTGTGGCTTGCACTGGCGGCTTGGCCCCCTTTAATACCGGCTTGCAGGTCTAGATTTATCTTGTTTCTATTTTCTGTTCAGGAGCTCATTACTTTTTTTTATGTTTTTAATTGTGTCATTTTCTGTTTTTATGTAAATCACTTTGTAACTTTGATTTCAAATGTGCTATATAAATAAAGTTATTTGGAGGAAAGACTAACAACACTGGTATTAGCTTAATTTACTGTTCTGACGATTTAATCTGCGAAGGACGCAAGCCAAAAACTAAAGTGGAGGAAGTCAGTGTTTTGGAACTGATGGCTCAACACAACTACAGGCCCGTATGGACCACTTCTCTTCAGCTTGCAACAGTCCTGTACCAACCTGCTCCCAGGAAACTCTGCACCAGTCTACCTGGTTGTCATAATACCAACTCTTATATATGGGTGCGAAGTCTACCAACACCATGCTAGGAAATTGAACCATTTCCATCTGAGCTGTCTAAGGAAACTGCTGAGGATCAAGTAGCAGGACAGGATCCCTGACAATGAAAGACACTGTCTGCAAAGACCAATATTCCTATTATTCTCACTTTGCTTGCATCAGGGTGCTTACATGAAAAAAAATTTCTTTGGAAAGCTGAAAAATGGCAAGCAACCCCAAGGTGTCTCCTCTTTGTTTGCAATAGTGCTGCCTTGAAGAATTGCCTCCCATTCAGCCTGATCGCACCTTTGGCAGTAGGGAAGTGCTGCCAATCGTTTTTCCCAATCTGGTCTACAAAATGCAGGGACACTGAAATGATGGTGCTATCTGGAGCTGAAAAAATTACTGAACAGCCTCCTGCAGCTCAATCCACCGTCACACAATTATCCAACTTTAGTTTACTAACAATCACTTATGTAAATGTGTATTTTTTGAGGAAGCAGATACTCTGACACTGCTTTGACTGATTCCCCCGTCTTTTCTTTCACTCAGATATAATGGAGTCATAATGTCTCACAGAGTAGGAACAACACTTGGTCTTTCACGGCTTCCAAACACACCAGAAAATACAGCAGCTTTACCTTCACACTGAGAGGAGGAAGGTCCTCTGTTCTCTGAAGTCTTTCCAGCATCATTGACATCCACTGACCCTGAGAGAGAGAGATTATGTCTTATACTTTCAATTTGACTTATTATTTATTATGTATCAATAAGTTATTCAGTGCTTGTTAATTACTTTTTTACATTCAGAATCAGAATCAGAAATGCTTTATTAATCCCAGGGGGAAATTACTTTCGTTACATATACAGATGTAACAGACATACAATATATTAAGAATATAAAGGTTTAAAAATACAATGTACAGTTTAAAGTCACACTTTCAAATGTGCAAAAATGGCAAGTGTAAAGTGACCATGTGTACAGTATCCATGTGTAAGTGTCCATATGTACAGTGACCTTGTGCAGTTTCTGATTGTCTGTGTTTGAGGTCAGATTACAGAGAGGGGGTGTCTGACTCTCTGAGGGAGGCGTTGTAGAGTTTGATGACCACAGGCAGGAATGATTTCCTGTGGCGCTCTGTGGTGCATTTGGGTGAGAGGAGTCTTCTGCTGAAGGTGCTCCTCTGCTGGGCCAGTGTGTCGTAGAGAGGGTGAGACATTGTCCAAGATGGACTGAAGCCTGGACAGCATCCTTCTCTCTGCCACGGTCGTCAGGGTGTCCAGCTCCTCCCCTACGACATCACCAGCCCTCTTGAGAAGTTTATTTAGTCTGTTAGTGTCTGCGATCTTCAGCCCACTGCCCCAGCAGCGAAGATCATCGAACTGGCCACAACAGACTCATAAAAAATCCTCAGCATCGTCCGGCAGATGTTGAAGGACAAGGCTCAACAAAAAGAGTAGGCTTTTTTACTCCTCTACAGTGTTCACAGGAACCCCCTGGATGGAAACAGGGGTCACAGGTGTTTTCGCCTTCCTCAGATCCACTATGAGCTCCTTTGTCTTTGTCACGTTGAGCTGCAGATGATTCAGCTCACTCCAAGCGACAAAGCTGCCCACCACAGTCCTATATTCACTCTCATCACCCTTTTCAATACAACCAACAATTGCTGAGTCATCACAAAACTTCTGAAGGTGGCAGGACTCGTGCAATAGTTAAAGTCAGAGGTGTAGAGGGTAAAGAGGAAGGGAGAGAGGACAGTCCCCTGTGGGGCCCCAGTGTTGCTGACCACCCTGTTAGATACACAGTTCTGTAGGCGTACGTACTGTGGTCTTCCCATCAGGTAATCAACAATCCAGGACAGGTGTGAAGGACACTGTAGAGGTGACAGTGAAGGAGGGGGGAGGTCCTCAGGTTGTGGGGGACATGATGCAGAGCAGGGGGGAGGGGTGGAGTAAATGGGTGTGAATTGAGGTGGTGAGGGGCAGACAGGGGGTCTGAAAGGAGGGGGAGGAGGGGGAGGCAGAGTGGCAGTAGTTTTTAGGCAGCCAGCAGCAGAGAAACTAGCTGACCTGTATTCAGAGGGAGGCAGTACAGGTCACACCACAAACTCCCAAACTGATGACATGTCTGATGCTGAGACAGTTGACACATCTGTGAGAGACTCATGTAATGACTCTGACGTTGTTGTTTATCAGAACATTCACAGAGTTGGCAGCAGTGACAGTCTTTTCTACACACCTGTGGTGATGGGTGGAACTGTGGAAATTGACGGAATGTTGGACAGTGGTTCAATGGCCTGCAGCATCAGTGAGACAGCTGAGATGAAACTGAGAGAGGCTGGAGTGATAACGGACCAAAAAAAGATTGATGTGAATGTAGTCCTTGTTGGATGTGGCGGACTTCGTGTTAAGCCAAAGAGTGCTTTTGATGTGGAGATGGAAGTGTATGTCTGTAAGATGTTGGTCCCCACACTTGTTGTGTTATAAAACACACCCTGCATCAGTCTAAGCAATGTGAGTCCTATTGGGAGACAGTGTCCAGCCCCTGCCCAACCAGAGACCCAGAAACTGAACTGTTCCTGTCTATGCTTTCTGGTCTGAGCCCCTGGAAGGGTGAAGATATTCCTGACAAGGTCGGTACAGTCAGCTGCTGTCTTACACACTTCTCTGCACTTTCTTTAGAACAGTCACCCACCCAAAACCCCATAGAGACTGTGTCTGTCCCCCGACCACCTAAATTATTTAAAGAAATAAAAACGAGGAGTTCAACATGAAATCCTAATAAAAATTAAAACCAACTTCTCAGTAGCACAAAATAAAAGAATGAAATATGGACTGTTAAATATCAGGTCTCTGTCCTCTAAAGCTGTTTTAGTGAATTAATTAATATCAGATTATGATATTGATTTACTTTTTCTTACTGAGACCTGGTTGTCCCACGAGGAGTATGTTAGTCTTAATGAATCCACCCCCCCCAGTCATATTAATACTCACATTCCTCGAGGCACTGGCCGAGGAGGTGGAGTGGCAGCCATACATGATTTGAGCGTTTTAATTGACCCTAAACCTAAACTAAATTATAATTCATTTGAAAGCCTTGTTCTTAGTCTTTCTCACCCAAACTGGAAAAAACTGCAGCCAGTTCTATTTCTTATAGTGTACCGAGCTCCTGGACCGTACTCTGATTTTATATCTGAATTCTCAGAGTTTTTAGTAGTAGGTGATTTTTTTATTATTCATGTGGATGTTAACAATGGCAGCCTTAGTAACACATTTATATCATTAATAGACTCAATTGGCTTCTGTCAGAGTGTAAATAAACCAACTCACTGTTTTAATCACACTCTTGACCTTGTTCTATCATATGGCATTGATATTGAACATTTAATAGTCTTCCCACATAATCCTTTCCCATCTGACCATTATTTAGTAACTTTTGAATTCATACTATTAGATTATAAGCCATTAGGCAAAACTTCCTACAGCAGATGTCTATCTGACAGTGCTGTAGCTAAATTTAAGGAGGAGATTCCTTCAGTGTTTAATTCAATGCCATGTCTGAATTTAACAGAGTCCTATAAACGACTTTAGTCCCTCTGAAATTGATAATCTTGTCGATAGTGCTGCAGGCTCACTACGATCAACATTAGACTCTATCGCTCCTATAAAAAGGAAATTATTAAAACATAGGAGAATAGCACCTTGGTATAACCACCAAACCCGCCAGTTAAAACAAATAGCTAGAAAATCTGAAAGGAAATGGCGCTCTTCCAAATGATCAGAATATCGCTCAATTTGGCAAGATAATCTTAAAACTTATAGAAAGGCCCTCCGTAATGCCAGAGGAGCCTATTACTCACCACTAATAGAAGAAAATAAGAATAACCATAGGTTCCTCTTCAGCACTGTAGCCAGGCTGACAGAGAAGCACAACTCTATTGAGCCACATACCCCCATAAACTTAAGTAGCAACGACTTTATGAGCTTCTTTTATAATAAAATTATTACTATTAGAGAGAAAATTAATCACCACCTGCCATCAACAGTTATCAGTGGCTCTCCAAGTTCAGGGACTTTTACTAATATATATTTAGGCTGTTTTTCTGCTATCGATCTTCATCAGTTAACTTCAATAATTTCTTCATCGAAGCCATCAACCTGTCTATTAGACCCGATCCCAACTAGGCTGCTTAAAGAAGTTGTTCCCTTAAATGGCACTTCTTTACTGGATATGATTAAACTTTCTTTATTGTCAGGATATGTACCACAGTCCTTTTAAAGTAGCTGTAATTAAACCCCTTCTTAAAAAGCCCACTCTTGACCCAGGGGTTTTAGCCAACTATAGACCAATCTCTAACCTCCCCTTCCTCTCTAAGATTCTGGAGACAGTAGTCGCCAAAGAGTTGTGTGACTTTCTACATAACAATAGTTTATTTGTGGTATAATATTCTTTTACAGAGACTTGAGCATCAAATTGGCATTAAAGGAACCGCACTAAGCTGCTTTAAGTCATATTTATCAGATCGTTCGCAGTTTGTATATGTTAATGATGAATCTTGAATAAATACTACAGTTAGTCATTGAGTTCCACAAGGTTCTGTACTTGGACCAATACTATTTACTTTATATATGCTCCCTTTAGGCAACATTATTAGGAATCACTCCATTAACTTTCACTGTTATGCAGATGATACGCAGTTATATCTATCGATCAAGCCCGATGAAATTAATCAATTATCTAAATTACAAACATGTCTTAAGGAGATAAAATCCTGGATGACCTGCAATTTTCTGATGTCAGAAAAAAACAAAATTCTTGTTCTTGACCCCAAAAACCTTAGAGACTCACTGTCTAAAGATATAATTACTCTAGATGGCATTACCTTGGCCTCTAGCACCACTGTCAGGAATCTTGGAGTTATCTTTGATCAGGATTTGTCATTTAAACCCATAAAGCAGACCTCCAGGACTGCCTTCTTTCATTTACGTAATATCACAAGAATTAGACACATCCTATCACAGACAGATGCAGAAAAACTAATCCATGCATTTTTTACTTCAAGGCTGGATTACTGCAACTCTTTATTATCAGGTTGCCCCACTAACCCTATGCTCCAATTAATTCAGAACGCTGCAGCACGAGTACTGACAGGAACTAGAAAAAGAGATCACATATTTCCTATACTAGCTTGTCTGCACTGGCTCCCTGTAAAATGTAGAATAGAATTTAAAATCCTCCTCCTCACCTATAAAGCTCTTCATGGTCAGGCCCCTTCATATCTTAAAGAGCTCATAGTACCCTATTACCCCTCTAGAACACTACGTTCTCTGAATGCTGGGCTACTTGTGGTTCCTATAGTCTCTAAAAGTAGAACAGGAGCCAGAGCCTTCAGTTACCAAGCTCCTCTCCTATGGAACCAGCTTCCAGTTGTGGTTTGGGAGACAGACACCCTCTCCACATTCAAGAGTAGGCTGAAGACGTTCCTCTTTGATAAAGCTTATAGTTAGGGCTGGATCAGGTGAGTCCTGAACCATCCCTTAGTTATACTGCTATAGGCCTAGACTATCGGGGGATTTCCCATGGTGCACTGAGCTCCTCTCTTCCTCTCTCTTTCTGCACTCATTCATGTCCCATTAATGCATGTTACTAACTTCACTTCTTCCCCGGAGTTCTTGTGCTTTCTCATCTCGCAGGTTCTTATCGATCCTG